AAGGCAGGTATTTAATTTTACTTAAAGCATTTACTCCATCTTTCACCAAAATTTGTTCTAGAGTGGCTCACAAAATCAAAACATCTGAGCAACAGTCATAGAATATAGACACTATTCTCCATGCATGATCTGTCTCAACTTGAATGTTCGCTTCAAGGAAGGGCAGAGAGCCTTCCCATTCCCATCTCTTCCCACCTGCAGCATTCAACTGCCGTCTCCTGCCCAGACTCCCACAGGCAACGCTCCTTGCTAAGTATTTTGCTTCACTGGCCTGTGCTGAGCTGAGGCAGGTATCCAGTTGCGCCCACTGACTGCTCACCATGCCTATAACAATTCAGGCTCAATCAGATGGGTTGAATTCTCAAAGCCCGTAGGCCCCTAAACTTGGAGGCTTCTCAGCATCCCCTGCAGAGTGGGAGGAGTGGCCCAGCAGTGTTGATGTTTTCAGCCATCCAACTGGGTTGCTCCAGATGGAGAGGGGAGGAAACTGCAGAGGACACAGAGTAACCCATACTCTGGCTTCCATGTTAAAATCCTTCCTCACCAACTGGTACAGCACCTTTGTCCCCTCTCGGAGGTTGAGTTTCCTACCTTGGAGAGACAGCCAACACACTTCTTTTCATGTCAGACAGCAGGGAGTAAATCAGAGCTTCCTCCAACCTCAGATTTGGGAATCTAAGTATCATATGTCCCTCTAGACAATGTCTAGGGGCTAAATGCTTCTAAGTGAATAAAATATGTTGCTGATACAGTCAGAATCTAATTTTATCAGATACTCAGACAATTTTGAAGGGCATGTTAGAACTTGTATGCTCATAACATCACTTTAAGTTTTGAATCAGAATGAAGTCTCCGGCTGCAGTCCTGAATATATTACATCTGTTAGTATGTTTTATGCATTGTAAGCCGCCTAGAAAGGCCTCGGCAATTATAGGCAGCCTATAAACATATGTAATAAATAAATAAATTTACCTAATAATAAACCTCATAAGCAAGTCTCTATGCTTTTGAGTAAATAAGCATAGCATTGCAACATAAAACATTTTTTTCATGTAAACAGAAAATACCTCTCTTAGCTTCTGCAAGGTTGGTGTGATTTCTTCCTCTAAAATCTGTAAATAAAAAGTTGAACATACTGAATTTTCCATTTCCCAAATATTCACATCAGATTGAACAGAGGGCACAATTATGGTGCACATTCATTTTAAAAAATTAAAAACAAGCAAGTAAAATTAAGGCAGAAGGAAGACTTTAAGAAAAACAAATCTGCTTGGAGGAACTTTATTGGAAACCCTACTTCTGAAAAAAGACAATATCAATTACACAGAAACAATCAAATGCAAAAATGTAATACCGTGCAAATTTCTTTAAGCTTGGCTTCCTTTTTCTCTATGGTTTTCTGAGCAGCTATTTTCTTGCACTCATACATCCTGGTTCCAGCTGCTTCTTCAATCATCGCCAAAATCTAAAACAAATTGCTATCTCAGGTCAAATAGTTTTCTTCTTCTTTTTTGTAAGTAAAAATGGAAAACACTGCCATGCTTACCTCTGGGGGCTTCATATTGAGAACTTTGGTAATTCGCCCCTAACAGAAACAAAAATAATAAGTCTCATATTTCTTACATACTTTTAGCATTTCATTTTAAAATTACTGGTTCAATAAATACAGACTTTTATGTATACTAAATTTTGTTAGAACTACTGTTTGAACAGTAGCAAATTGTGGAGCAGATACTGAGTATTCCAATAGGGGCCCATATTTAAAAGCAGGAATAGGATTCTGAACTAAGTAGCAGTCTTCTGTTTGCTTCAGCCAAGACCTGGGTGGATCAAATGTCCCTGCCAGCATTGATTCAACAAGGGATTTGTGGAGATGACTAAATCCATGCGCTTAATATGATTTTTAAAAAAGGTAGCCCCAGAAGAACGTTTCCTCTTTATGTGTTTGCTGCAGTTTAATAAAAGGGGCAGAGATAGCCCTTTTATAGCTCCCCTAATGTCAGTGTGGAGATTAGATCCCCATCCACAGATCTTCACATGCAGGAAGCTGCATAAACCCAGCTGTGAACAAGGATAATGGCTCCCAGGCAGAAGGTACAGTAAGTTTAGGACATGGAGGTGCTTTTCAAAACTGAGAAGCATTGAATTAAGCAGATGCTTTGAAAGGCCTATTATCTTTAGATCTGGCAAAAGTGTTAGTTATTAGTTTTATGCTGAAACTAAGCATTTATTTTTTAGCTTTGGTCTCACGCTTGTCAATTTAAAGTAGATTTCATAATTCTGCTTAAATCACATTTATTTACAGGAAACTCAGGGAGACTGGTTGCATTACAAATGGTTAAAACAATTAAACACAATTCTATGCATGTCTACACAGAATAAAATAGTTCAGTACGCTTTACTTACAGTTTGCACAGGATAGACATATAGGTTTCTGCTAGCAGATTTGTAATTTAAAAGAACAATAAGAAGAGAGAAAAAAGGAGAGCGGATGGGGACCAGATGTTTACACTACCTGCATGATAAGAAAGTGAGGATTATTGACATTCAGTCCAATAGAGCAGAAGAGATCCTGTACTCTAGTATTGTTTGCATTCACGCCATTGATTAGGTATTTATTTCTGCCTCCGATCACAACCTTTAGAAAGAAACAAAGAAGAGTCCATTATGAAACTAGATATGCAGAGAAGCATGCTTAAAAATGGCTAGGAATGTAACTGAGGGCACAATCTTATGTGAGTCTAGACAGAAAAAAGGCCTACAACTACAGCTAGCTGGGCATGGCAGCTTTTCTAAGGCCTCTGTCAAAATTTGCATATGTTGTTATTTTCTTTTTTCTTTTAAGGATATAAGCAATATGGGGTATGTCTAGAACCTGGCTCACCTGTCTTGTGATGGTAATTTCATCATGATTTTCAAAGCCTAGAGGACTCTGCTTCTTGTCAAAATTATCAAAGGTGATAGATACAGTAGCCTTAGTAATCCCAGCCTGTCCATTTTTGTAAACAAGATCTTGCAAATTGGAAGCTCGCACCTGAAAATGTCAAAGAAGTCATCATCATTCCTACATAAATCATATAGCAATGCATATAGAGATTCACCTGGTGCTGACTTTATACTCCTTTGGTGCCAGGTAAAAACCTTTTTATTCACCCAACATTTTAAGCATTAAGGGGTTTTAAATGGTTTTAACATCAACAGTCGCATTTTGTTTTTGTTTTGTTGGGGTTATGAATGCTATTTATCATTTTGTTATTTACTGCCTTAATCATTGTAATTAATATTGTTTAATTGTTATTATTATTGTACTTATTATTGTTTTAATTATTGTAAGCCATCCTGAGACTTTTTCCATATTGGATGGGGTAAAAATGTTTTAAACAAATAAATAGGCTATAGGGCTGCATTGAGAACGTCACTTAATCAATACATTATGATATACGTACAATATCATATGTTTGATATATGCTTTGACATTTTGTCAGTCAACCACCCAGTGTATAGAAGATTGATGAGAGAAACACATTTTAAGGGGTGGGAGGGATGGAGAACAATAAAAGTAAAATCTTTACAGAGGGTCAGCCTCACAATACAATTTGTGGAAAATGTTACATATAGCTCAACGGGATTTTTAAAAGAGTATTTAGCATTGCAAGGCCAAAAATAAGTTATTTGATTTGTTTTATTGAAGGTAAACTGAAAGCAGCCCAAGGTATCTACAGCAAAAAAGAGAGTAGGGGCTTGCTGCCTGGTCTAAGCCTCAACACTATACATGGGACCAATAGTTTCATGCTGTAATAATTACATATTGATAGTCATATTTTTGGATCTAATCAGAAGAATGACTAAAACTTTTAGCATTTATTGTAGATTTAAAAGAAGGGAGGAATTGTTGCTTACAGTAGATATCCGAGAAACGTACTCACCTGTGAAAGATTGGTAATGCCCAGTAAGAAACAGATAGAGTCCAGGATATTTGATTTGCCACTTCCATTTAAGCCAGTGATGGCATTGAAGAGTGGGTCAAAGTCATTAACCTCGGTCCTTTGAGCATAAGACTTGAAACCCTCAAGGACAATGGATTTGATGTACATGTTGTTTCTCTGGAGATTCAAAGCAAACTTACTGCCAACCTATGAAATAATATGGTTGATTTGTAATTCTTTTACCAAAATGTGCATGGATAAAATCCATCGAGTACAGTCTGGTAAATGGTAGTCATAATAAATGCTGCAAAGTAAAAAATCAACTAACTGGGAAAGAGAATGACGGTGGTGGGGATATTCTGATGTCCTATAAAACCTGCTCTTCCCTATTTTTGTCTCCCATAGAGAATTAAGGCAGAAAACACAAAAGTCTTAGCTCATCAAGGCAATCATCCTGCACACCCACCTAGAAGTAAGCCTTACTTTATTATTTTTAGTTGTTTTATTAGTATTATTTTTATTGACACTATTGTTTTATTGCATTGTTGATTTTACTGTGTTGATTTTATGCAAGTTGCCCAGAAATCCTATGGCTAATATGAGCCACCCCGAGGCTTCAGCAAATGGGGCGGCACAGAAGTCTCCTAAATAAATAGATATTATAAATCAAATCAAATCAAATCAAATCAAAAAATAAATATGGGATCAGAATACACATCCACTACACTAGGGCATAACTAGAGCTGTGCATTAAAAACAGCAGGCTCTCCTGCCAAGTTAGCATACCTGGCATCACAATGCAATTTTCTGCAGAAACGTATTCTTTATAAAGATGTCTCAGACTGCCTGTGACATTGCAGACATTTGTCCTCAGATTTGAGCAGCTTTCCCCAGCTCTTCAGATGTTTTGAACTACAACTCCCGGCAACCCCGAGCACTGGCTGCTCTGCTAGGGCTGATGGGAGTTTCAGTCCCATACATTTGGAAGGCACCAAATCGTAAAATCCTGGCTTCTTGCGCATCAGTGCGGTTCTATGCATATTTATTCGCACGCACCCGTAGGGGCTGGTTTCCCTCTCTCGCAGCTTGCGAGTTCATGACTAGCATAGCGAGGCGGCCAAGAAACAAACGACGCTGGTTCACCCTACAGGTGGAGGTAAAACACAGACCGCCCTAGACTCCAAAAAGCCCTACAGAAACTCTAGATCACGAACGATGACAAAGCACAGCGCTTACTACACCTGTCCCAACTCATCAGGAAAAGAAAGAAGCGATAGCCCATCACTTAAAACCCTACCGGAGGCCGCCCTTCCTCCGCCGGGCTCCCTTTTTCTCCTTTCTTCACTTGAATTTTGGCGCGAGTGAAGAGGCCCTTTCCCTCCGGCTCGCGGAGCCAAGAGCTGGCCCTGTCGCTGCCTGATTTTTAATTGAGGTTATTTGTCAATAACGAGCCAGGCTTTCTTGAAGCCGACTAAGTCTCCCAAGACGAACTCTCATTGGGGCTTCCCAGTCGGCTATAAAAGCGGGCGGCGAGGTTTGGGGGTGGGGGTTGTGGGAACTTTTCTGTAGTACGTGGAAGAGCGGCGCGGGTGTTTTGTAACTTAACTATCTTCTGAAATCCCAAGTATTTGAATACAATAATAGTAATCTCTATATTAGATTTTATATTATAAATTATTTTAATCTCTCTGTATATTAAATAGTAATCTATAAGAGTCACTAGGCAATCTTTAGAAACAGAATTTTAAAAGTTTATCCCCTTTTAATATTGGCACCCCAGTTTGTTAGGGATGCCTCTTAAAAATGCAGCATGCACTAGGAATTGCTATTTTCCAGGTTTCAGTCCTCGTAGATCTCTTAAAGCTCCAAGTAAAACGAATTATATTGACACACGTACCAGAACCCCACAGCTTATTTCTTAAGGTTTTGTGGCTAATGACAATCTTTCTAAACACTGCATGTAACATGAGAGGTATACCAGGTTGTTCTTAGCAAAAAGAGCAACATGTTTACTTTCTAATTGCATGAACAAGTTTGGGTAATAGTTAATGACTTTTTAATGGATGCTTTCTAAAAATGTTAGTGCATTATTCTTTCTGCTTCACCTGCACAATCTTTGCCAGATAGGAAATGATGTTGAATTGGTTTGAGCAGCTATTTTATTTATTTATTATTTATTTATTAAAACATTTTTATGCCGCCCCATTCGCCAAAGCCTTGGGGTGGCTTACAACAAAAAATTAAAATAACATTTTAAAATATATACATTAAAATACAAATATATAATATAAAACATACAATATAAAACAAGCCGCCCTGGCCAAATAAAATTCAATAATATTAACATTTAAAATACTGCTTAAATAAAAAGGTCTTCGCCTGGTGCCGTCGTTATTTGTTTTTCGG